GGAAGAGAAAGACATGGAGAGGTACGTGGGAAGTACAGACAACAAAGATGAACCCTTTGCACATATAGTACGGCATGGTCAGTGAAGGCAAACACAGGTATATGGGTGGATAGATGGGTGGACAGGCTGAAATATTAGGTATGTCTATGAAGTGGGGAGTGCACCCAAGAACATATATAGGGTTGGCAGACAGTGGCCCTATAACTTTATGTATATGATCTGAATTCCCAGGTGTATAGTGGAGCTGACAAGGGGCAAGGTTGGAGTCACTGCTTGGTCACAGCTAGCTACCCAGAAGGACCAAGGAGTTGAACCTGTGGGCTCGGGACCATAGTCACAGACAACAGCAAGCTCAACTGGCATAACATACTACACAAAACATTGTTCCACCTCCTACTGTGGGGAGTAGCGACTGGGATCTTAGAAAGCTTGCAAGCTGCCATCTAGATGCAACGATGGGTCTCTCCTCATCCAGAGCCAAAAGGAATGACAAAAAACAAAAATTCATGGAAGCAATTAGTCCTAGTGACTGGAACACCATCCAATCTGCAGCCTATACGACTATGAGACCAGAAGAATTAGATGGTGCCCAGCTACTACTATCAACCACTTGGAAGAGGATCTGTATATGAGATCCTGGATAGACAGGGAGAACAATGTGGAACAAATCTCAAAATCATTTGGGAAAAAAAAAAATAGGGGGGACCAGGTTTGCTGGCCTGATAGAGCCTGGTGGAACCATTGAGACTATGGCTCATGCCCTTTAGGTCTGGAATTGAACACATGCCAGTGGCTTCCAGCCAAACAATAGACAGACATATGAGTTGAACATTTACCTGAGTTAGATACACTCTTTGGAGAGAACAAGCATGGGAGAAAGAAGGGTTGCTTATGCACAGGGAGACAGCCCAGGGGACAGAAGTGCATGGAGGGATGGACGCAGGGAAGAGGTAATTATTGGGAGGAAATAGGAGGGAAATGTTGTATCGTGGTAAACTGTGGTCAATGTCATGAGACAAAGTGCATGTGAACTGCTGTATGGAAAGTGTATATGCTCTGTAAATTTTCACCCAAATCACAGTAAAAAGAAAAAAAAAAAAAAGAAATGAAGAAACTCTTCACTAATACTCCCCACAGCCCCAGCTGGCTCAGAACAACTCAGTCAAACAGAGAAGCATGAATGATCTGAAAATGACTACAACAATATTACAGATATTCAAGATAATGATGCACAAAAAAGGAAGCCAAAATAAGAATCGGAAATGACCATTTCCTATGTCTTAAACTGTGCTAAAATTTCTATATAAATTTAACGTATCTCTGTTTAATACTCCATTAAATATGAAAATAAATGGTTGCTTACCTGTGACCAGGATGATAAATAGCTGTGTTGATTCCATGAGGATAATAACTATTAAAGCTGAAACTGTGACTTTCTTGGTAGCTCTGATTTGTTCCAACACTAAATTTAATAAGGGAAATCAGATATAAATATCATTACGCAACAATGAGATACTACAAAATACCCACTGAAATGTCTACTATGAAAAAGACAAACACCGCCAAATATTACCAAAGATGTGAAATAACCAGCACTCTGTTAACATTATTGGTGGTGTGTGAATGATACAACCACTTTAGAAAAAGATCTAGCAGTTTCTTCTAAAACATAAATTACATTTACCCTACTATTCAGCACTTCTATTGTAAGATATTGACCCCAGAGAAATGAAAACATGACCATAAAAGACTTATACAAGAATGGTCATAGCAGCTTATTTGCAATAGCCCTGTGAAATAATCACACAACTAAATACTCAGCAATGGGAAAAAAAAAAAAAAAAAAACTCTACTGATACATGTAACAGTATGAATCAATCACACAATACAACGCTGAATGAAGGAAGACTTGGACAAAAAAGACTTGGAGTATATGATCCTATTAACGTGAATTACTAGAACATTTTAAACTAACCTATGACAGGAAAAAAAAATTTAACAATGGTTGCCCTCAGTGTCGGTGGGGCTAGGGATACAAGGGCATGAGTGACCTTTCAGGCATGATTATAATGTTCTGAAATCTTGGTAAGTATTTGGATTGCACATGTGTAAGAATTTGTCGAGGAGCTCTGATAGCATAGTGCCTAAGGTACTTGACTGCTAACCAGAAGCCTCGTGGTTCAAACCCACCAGCCACTCCTCAGAAGGAAGGTTCAACAATCTACTGCCATAGTGATACCGCCTCAGAAACCCAAGGAGAGGTCATTATGAGCTGGCGCCAACTCAATGGCACATAATAAGAACAACAACATGAATTTGTCATAACTCACTGAATGATACATTTTAAGATTTGTGTATGTAAACATTTAAGATTTTTGCATTTCTTTTATGTGAAAAAACTGAGCTATAATTAATGATGCCCTGTTAAAGTATTTGGGTACTGATATCTGCAATTCTCTGAAACTTATCAAAAAATAAGATAATGGCTGCATTGATGGATACAAATGTGTTGTAGCATGCATGGTAAAATGTTAACCTAGAATCTAGATGAGAGATACAGGTGTTCAATATATGATGCTTTCAAGTCTACTTTACTTTTAGCTTTTCATAATAATATACTGGAAAAAAGAAAAAGAAATACCAAATGCTGACATTAAACCAGAGAAGTAAACATTATTTCAAAAAACACTTCCCAAAGTACAGTTTTACCTTACAAGGTAACTTCTAAGTTCTCCTCGGTAATTGATGACCAATAGTTCTGCAGACCACTGTGCACTTGCTTTATATTCTAAAAATATCAAACCAGCAATGGCATAGCTCAAATCACCTGCAAAACTAGATGCCTACAGAAGAGAGGGAATTATGTTACTAAAACAATACTAGATAAAATTAATACATATAGAATTGAAACTTTAGCCTTGCCAAGCACATTTTAAGTAAGATAGTCCCAGAATTGCCTGTATACTAAACACTCATGCAAGACAGAGTGCCTAGAACTACACAATAGGTCTATACCAGCCCTCCCAGCCTTCTACTGGAACCACACCACCCGCTCTGGATGTTAACCTAGATAGGTAAATTTCTGTTCAGATTAAATTTCCACTGTAAAAAGATTAGGAAAGAAAACAAAGGAATGCCACTATTCAGCATCTAAGAATGCTACTGGACTGTTTTCAGAAATAAGTCTTCAAATGTTGATTTCTACTGCCAACAGTAATCTATGATAAAATTGCTTAACTTAGTAAAAACTTCATTCAATGCCAACATTTTTCCACCAACTAAATATCAGGCTATAATGTAAAGATGTAAAGGTACGTGCAGTTTAAGAAACACACATAACAAAGTTTATCAATTATGTGTGTTTCCTGAATGACTCCTCATTGTCTAGAATTACACAATGCAATAGTGAGCCACACGTAGCTAGTACAAATAGAGATATCTGGCTAATTTGAATTAAGATATGCTGTTAATGTAAAATGCATACCACATTTTAAAGACTTAGTTCCAAAGAATGAAAAATATCATAGTAATTTTTACATAGCTTATGTATTGAAATAATATTTTGTATCTATTGAATGAAATATTAAATAAATTTCACCTGTTTCCTTTTTTTTTTAATATAGCTACTAGTAAATTTAAAATTACATATGTGATCACAAATATAGTTCACATTATATTTCTATCAGACACAGCTGATCTAGAAAACTCCTGAGTTTGGGTCCCAAGGACTTCCATAATATAAGCCCTACATACTTTGAGGTTTCCACTCATTATTTCTGAACAAAAATTATTCTCTTTATCAGTTCTAACTATAGTCACCTCAAGAAACTGTAAACAATATTAAAGCCCAGGCCCCACCCAGATCAGTCAAATCAGAACCTCCATGAGTGGAGCCCAAGCTCAGTTTTCAAAATTGTAATAATATCTCTGCTCAAGTAAAAAACACTTGTGAATATTCAATAGTATATATCAAAGTCACTAATAAAGAAAAAAGCAATATACAAATATGTTATTGTTATTAGTTGCCATCAAGGAGATTCCAACTTATGGTGACCTCATGTAATAAAGTTAAACTGCTCCATACCATGTTCTTAGCTGTAATTTCAATGGAAGCAGATCACTAGGCCTTTCCTCTCACAGTGCCACTGGGTGGGTTCGAATCACCAACCTTTAGTTTAGCAGTCAAGCACAAACAATTTGTACCACCTAGTAACTTTGCAAATAATTTTTTCGCCACTCTCTTTTTCAATTTCTATCCTTTTTAGAGTTACTTAAATTCTAACTCCTCTGAAAGCTATTCTTGTTGCATTAAGAGGAACACTGATTTCTTTCCTCACTGAAGCTTTGGGTTTTTTTTTTGGAGTCATTTACTATCATATTTTAATAATAGTTTATATCCAGACAGTAAGTGCATTACAACATACAAAGAATAAATACTTCAAATAACTAGATTTCTTATCTGAAGCAAATTCAGAGTTTATTCTTATTCATATTTGAGTTTCTCCACTCTTCAAATTCATTCATTCAAGTACCTATACCTGACGACACTGAAAAAAATATATATATGTTACGAGTTTAAGGTATTTACGTACAGGGGAAATGACAAAGAGTTCACTTCCCATAAGATCAAACACCCTCACAGTTCCTGTGCTTTCAGCGTAGGCCAGCAGAGTACAATCATAACTCCATGCTACCCGTCTCCACTGAGGTTTTGGGTCTTTGGGCACTAGAACAAACAGAAAAGAGGTGCTTTAAAATAAACTGTTATAAAGAACGAGCAGAAAATCATTTCAAACCAAAGAGTTCAGTTGCTCTAAAAGGTAAATATAAAAATTTGAACTGACCTCTTTTAAATATATCAAATAAAAAAAACAAACAAAAACAAAGTGGGACTATAAGGACACAGTATTAAAAAGGAATGAGAAAGAACGCATCATGACATTCCACTTTTACATCCCATCACTTCCTTGGTCACCCAACCAACAGCCTACCCTAGCACAACTACCTGACAAATAAGCTAACCATGCACACATGAATCTTTGTGCCTTTGATACATATAACTTCTTCTACCTTATCTCCAAGCTTACTCATCCTACCAGACCAATTTAATTGTTACTTCCTCCTTCTTTGACACTCTTCAATATTGACTGCTTTTTCCTCTGTGCTCCAAAATATGCTGCACTTGTCTTTCATGGCATTTGTCATACCTTATTTTTTTTCTTTTTAATTTTTATCGTGGTTTGGGTGAAAGTTTACAGAGAAAATTCAATTCCCACACAACAGTTCATACACATTTTGTTTCATGACATGCAATCCTCACAATGTAACAGCTCTCTTCCTACTTCCTCCTTGTAGTTACCTCTTCCCTGTGTCCTTCTTTCCTATGCAATCCAGCCACCTAACTGATCTCCCTGTGCAAATAATGCTCTTCTGATCTTCCACAATTGATTGTTTTAAGCAGTGTATCTAACTGGTGTAAATGCGCACCCTATGTACCTGCCTTTTATTTGGCTGGAAGCCTAGGAGTGAGCTCAATTCCAGGCCTGAAAGGTAACTGGGGGCCTAGTCTCAGGGGTTTTACCAGGCTCTATCATATCTTTTTGATGATTTTGAGTTTTGTTCCACATTGTTCTCCTATTCTATTGACTCCGGCACTAATCCCTTTCCCTATGGTTGACAGTGGTAGCCAGGCACCATCTAACTCTTAGGGTTTCAGAGTCATATAGGCTGAGGTTCACATGATCCACTAGTCCCTTGGATTAACTGTTTCCATGTGTCTGTGGTTTTCTTCATTCTTCTTTGCTCTGGATGGCAGAACAATTGCTGCAACTAGCGACTGCTTGTACACTTTTAAGACTCCAGTTACTATTCATGTTTTTCTGCATGATTCGCTAGTCATATGAATCACTATTCATATTATGTTTCTTTTACATGAGGCCCTTTGTGGTGGTTATGTTTGTATCAACTTGGCTGGACCTGACTGAGTGGCTGGGCAGCTGGTGGTAGTTATTCTCCATGATGAGAGTAGCAATCAACTCCATGGTGGGATCTACCACAAGCAGCTGAGTAGCTGCTTTAGGTATGTGCTCTGCTTCCTGTACATAAGCAGTAGCTTTTGGAATGGTCTCTAGCTTATGGTATGCTTGGACCCTGCAAGTAGTGATGTCCTTTTTCAGCTGCCTGCCACATTCTGCTGACCTGGGGACTTACAATGGACTTGAATTAATGGCTTGCCATGTAGTTTGGTAACATTAGGACTATGCCTTTTTATTTGTCAACCTTGGACTTGGCAACCTCAGCAGCCAGCAGCTGTCTGAGTGAAGAAAAGCCTCTAGCTTCAGTGGGTGGAGACCTGGAGGCTGAGATGAAGCTCAAGGCTGAGGGGCTTTCTTCCAGACCCTAGAGCCTGGCACTTTGAACTTGGGCTTAAAGTTTCTAAATTTTTTCATCATTATTCTCCTTTTCTACCTGTTTTGTCTTATTGCTCTATCCTCAGATATTGCAGGTTTTCTTGATTTTTTTCTGCTGCTTTTTCCTTTTTTTCTTTTTCTGATACTGTTCTTGTGTGATTACATGGTGTATTTTTTGTCCATGTGCTTATTTTTTGATGGGTATTCAATTGTAATTTTTGTCTAACTGAGTGGGAGACAGCAACACTCCCCATAAGACACAACTACACCCATACCTCCTGAAACTGCACTTACTGAGTGAGAGCCACCACTTCCTTCTCCACCAAAAGGCTAACAATAAAAAAAAAAAAAAAAAAAAAAAAAACCAAGAGCCTGAATCACTCTTGGCTGCTCCTCATAAACAGTTCACAGACATCTAAATGCAACAATGCCAATATGTCTCTGAGACAAAAGACCATCACACGCCACACAAAGAACAAAGATAAAGTGGTAGAAACAATGGAGCAGGATACAGACCCAGAACACAAACCTGAGGAAGAAGCAGCATTGGAAATTTCTGATAAGGAATTCAAAATAATTATATTTAGGTATCTTCAAAAGATTGAAAGACAGACCAAGGGAAACACAGAAAAAACCTTAGAAGAATTTTGGAAGAAAATACAAGAACAAAATGACAAAATACATGAAAAATTAGAAATAATTCTAAACCTACAGATAGAAAAGCAGAAGATTAATACTAAATTGACAGAAATGGATAACACATTGGAAGGGCAAAGGAGCAGAACTGATGCACTGGAACACAGAATTGATGAGATTGAAGACAAATACCTGAATACTTCTTTGGAAAGGGATCAATCAGAAAAAAAGTCAAAACAAAATGAAGAAAGCCTAAGGTTCATGTGGGATACCATCAAAAGGAATAACTTACGTGTCATTGGAATTCCAGAACAGGAAGAGAAAAATAAAACTACTGAGAAAATTGTCCAAGATTTGTTGGAGGAGAACTTCCCTGATACAATGAAAGATGAGAATATCCATTCAGGAAGTACAATGAAACCCAAACAGGACAGACCCCAAAAGAAAATCACCAAGCCATACAATCATCAAAACTAATCAAAACCAAAGACAAAGACAGAATCCTGAAAGCAGCATGGGAAAAAAAAAAAACTTACTTACAAAGGACAACCAGTAAGAATAAGCTCTGATTTCTCACCAGAAACCATGTAAGTAAGAAGGCAATGACAAGGTATGCATAAAACTGAGAGAGAAAAAAAAATTTCAACAAAGAATTATATACCCAGCAAAATTGTCCCTCAAATATGATGGTGAAATTAGTAGATTTCCAGATAAGCAGAAACTAAGGGAATTTCTTAAAACCAAACCAACCATACAAGAGAAGCTAAAGGGAGTCCTTTGAACAGAGAATCAAAAATAGCAAATAACAACCGACCATTAATACACAAGATGACATAACCCACAAACCACAGCTATGGACATATCCAAAGTAAAATGAGCTTCCAAGATGGTAAACAGGGAACCACAGACATCAATTGACAAGTAAGGACAAATACAAACAAAAAGAGGGAAAAGATTATGTAGTTACAGAACTTCTACATGGTGAGGAAGTTAAGAGAGTTGCAAGATAGAATGGACTGTTGTAAACTCAGGGAGAAAATTATAAATCATAGGGTAACCTTAAAGAAAAATGATAAACCTTAACATCACAATAAAAAAAAAGGAGAAGCACAAATGTTCAGCATATACTACAACAACATCAACAAAGCAAATGATAACACAATTCATAAACATAATGAGCTCAGCACAGAAAATAATATGGAACATGGATGAACTTGGAGGACACTATGATGAGTGAAATAAGTCAATCACAAAAGGACAAATACTGTATTAGTTCATTATTGTAAAAGTCAAGAAAAGATTTATCTATGGAAGGAAATTTTCTTTGTTGGTTACCAGGAGTGGGAGAGGAGGTGAGGGAACAGTTAAATTGGTAGAGATAAATACTGATTTCAGTGACGAGAAGGGCAAATGTACCAAATGTGAGTGATCAATATGGTGGCATTGAGGAAGAGAAAGACCTAGAGTGGTTCATAGGAGGTACAGACAACAAAGATGAACCCTTTTGCACATACAGTACTGCATTGTCAATGAACACAAACATGAGTATACAAGTGAATAGATGGGTGGACAGGCTGAACTATTAGATATGTCCATGAAGTGCGGAGTGTACCCAAGACTATGTATAGGGTTGGCAGACAATGGTCCCATAAGTTTATTTGTATTATCTGAATTCCCAGGTGTATAGTAGAGCTGACAAAGGGCAAGGTTGTAGTCACTGATTGGTCACAGCCAGCTAGCTAGAGGGACCAAGCAGTTGAACCTGTGGTCTTGGACTATAGTTGCAGGGGACATCAAGCTCAATTGGCATAACATACTACCAAAACATTGTTCCACCTCCTACTTTGGCGAGTAGCAACTGAGATCTTAAAAGCTTGCAAGCTGCCATCTAGATGCAACGATGAGTCTCTCCTCATCCAGAGCAAAGAAGAATGAAGAAAACCAAAATTTCATGGAAACAATTAGTCCTAGCGAGTGGTACACCATACAATCCTCAGCCTATATGACTATGAGACCAGAAGAACTAGATGGTGCCCAGCTACCACTGTCAACCACTTGGAAGGGGATCTATGTAGGAGATTCTCGATAGAGAGGGAGAACAATGTGGAACAAAACTCAAAGTCATCTGGAGAAAAGAAAAGGAGGAGGGGCTAGGTTTGCTGGTGTAACCACTGAGACTATGGCCCCTAGCTACCCTTCAGGTCTAGAATTGAACCCACACCTGTGGATTTCAGCCAAACAAAAGACAGGCATATGAGTTGAACATTTACCTGAGGTAAATACACTCCTTGGAGAAAACAAGCATGGGAGAAAGAAGGGACACTTAAGCACAAGGAGACAGCTCAGGGGGCAGGAGTCCATGGAGCGATGGACACAGGGAAGAGGTAACTATCGGGAAGAAGTGGGAGGGGAGCTGTTGCACTGTGGAAAATTGTAGTCAATGTCATGAGACAAAGTGCATGTGAACTGCTGTATGGAAAGTGAATTTGGTTTGTAAATTTTCACCTGAATCACAATTTAAAAAAAGTAAAATAAATGAAAAAAAAATATCTAAATTTCTATCAAGGAGGGAATAGATAAATGAATTGTGGTTCACATTTTTATAATGGAATACCAGGCCCACTTTAAAAAGATTGAGATACATCTATAGAAAACGGCTGGAAAAGATGTCATAGGATAA